TATATATATATATATATATATATATATATATATATATACATACATACATAAAACCTTGTAATGTAAATCTTCAACATGAGCTGTACATACCAATAGCAGGAACTACTGATAAAGGTGTATTTCAGCTTCACTGAAAAATGTCCAAAAGAAAAGAGTAGTCACTGGTTTCTCTGGGCCTCAGTTCCCGCCCCTGACAATAGTCTGAGATTCAGGAGAGCTGAGTTTGGGACTGACTGCCCCTCTTACTAGCAACTGAGCTTGAGCCTCAGAATTCTAAATCCAGAAGCATATTCATATGAATAGCAATGTCTTCTTTGCCGTTAATGTCTTTCTGTTTGGGCCTAAAATCCTTTCAGTTTAAGAGTTTAAACCTCCAACTGCTGACATGCCACTGCTTACAGAAGGAAGTGAGAGAAGAACTTCCAAGGTTCTATTAGTCCCCACAGGGTGCAGGGACACAACCAGCCATCATCATCATCATCATGGGTCAGCAACAAGTTACTGATTTTTTTTTCTCTGAATTTTCTCTCCTCCTCCTTTCACACCACCTACGTATTTTGAAAAAATGACATGAATCTCATTCAGGTTAAGCCTACCTTCTTGGATCTTATAGTAAAATTTGAAGAATGGAATAATTCCTCTGTGCCAGAACCTACGTGGCAAAGTTGAGTTCCCTCTGAGTGCTGAGATGAGTTCCAAGTTGGTCAGCTCTGTAATGTCTGGCAGAATGCCACAGGCTTGGCTTTAGTTACCAAGTGCCACTTTCAGGGGACACATAAAGTGCTAAATAATAAGGCTTGTTTGTTGCAGTCCAAAGTTATTCAAGCCACAGATATGCCATCTCCATTAAGCACAGATGCCAAGCAGAAGAAAAAGGAGGATGTGTGAATATTGTTCATGGAATCACCTTTTTAAAATGTCTCAGCTAAGTGACTAGTGATTATTCATCACCCTTCTTCCTGTGGAAGTCTAGTCTCACTGGCACTTCAAATCCAAGGTTTAGTTATCCTTGAACCTAAAACCCTAAGGCAAGTCAAATTAAACTTCCTTTAGGTAAGGGTAGCGAGTTCTGCTGGGTAATGATACAGATAGAATCTCACTTTAATACACTTCAGAAATCCTTATAACAGGTGGAGACCTATTGTTATACTATCTAGAACAGGTTATAGTTTTCATACAAATGTATTCTGATTTTCACTTTTTTTTAAAAAAAAGAGACTGTCCCTTCTTTTTCTCCAAGAGTATAGACCATTCTGCTCTGTGAAAGTGAGTAATGGCTCTGAGGAAAGCACTCTTGTTCGTTACCTTCCAATATTTTCCCCTCTTCTTCAAAATACAATCAGTCTATGGTCAACTATACATGAGAATATTCAATAACAAGTACACCATACAGTACATATTAAAGCAATAGCCTTATTATGTATAACTGTATCAATCATAAGACCTAGGGAAATTTCCTATAGTATTTTTTGTTTGTTTAACACATAATCAGACAAACAGCACTGCTACAAGGGCCCAGTCATCAAATGGTATGGACATGGTATTCTTCACTAGAATTTGACATCATAATGACATCTGTTATAATGAAATTCTGATTAGTCAAAGCTAGAAAATTACCTAGTATCTAGTTAAAATAGACTGGAAGAGAAGTAACCTTTTTTTGTATGCTAATAAGTACTGCAAGAAGCTTTGGACGTAGACTATCTTATTTCATCCTCTCAAATGTTCTACCCATTTTATAGATAAGGAGATTGAGGTTCACACTGCTAGGAAGTCAGAGAGCTAAGAATTAACTTGGATCAATATGACCCCTTCTACTATGGCTTGGGAAAGGCAGGAAGGGAAGTAGATGATCAGAAGCAGGCAATAAAGAAATGATACCACTGACATATTGTCAAGCAGACACAGAAATAGTGCTACACACTTAACATAAGGAGAGCATACAGTATTACCTGGCTTCTACTCCGGGCCTCATGGGTGGCTTTCCTGGTGGTGGCCGAGGCAAAAACTGAGATGAAATTGAGCTACTGACTTGATCTGTGTTGACCCATGACACCGGCCTTGGAATTTTGCTCTTTCTGGACTGAGAGATGATGGGTGACAGAAAGCTATCTTCAGCTGAGCTGCTCAGTGGGGAGTCTACAGCCAGCCTTGAAAAGGGAGTGAAGACTTCTTCCTCAGAAAAGGGAGCAGGAACAGTGGCTAGTCCCTCCTCTAGCAATTTATCAGAGGCACTTGAGAGGTCCCCAAGGAAAGACTTGAGTTGCCTTTTTTCCACCAGAAGCTTGACTAGGTCTGGTTGATAAGCTTTCTTTTGGAAGAGCTTTTCTTTTGCAGAGACTGGAGAGGATGTTTCAAAAGTTGAGTCTATTTCTTGTGCTAAAACAGGGATGCGGCTGTGTCTAGTTACGAAGGATGACCTAACCACTTCCTTCCGGGATGGGGGACAATGCTCACTCTCTGAAACACAATGAAATAGCTCTCCATTTCTAGGGACAATTTTCTCTTTCTTACCCTCTTGACGCAAAAAAGTAGAGAGGTCTCCCTGATGACCCGGCAAGTCTTCAATCTTGATGCCATCATCTTTAGATAGCTTACTTTTTTGCATTGCTGCCTGGCCTATCTGTCCTTCAGCATGTAGGTCAATTACTTGTGGAGAAATTTCTGAAGTTTCAACTGCCAGAAGCTTTATTTTCTCATGATTTTTGTCTTGATTTGGCACTACGCTAAAAGTCTGTGTTTTTACCATATCAAGAGCTTCAGTAGTAGCTGAGTGATCCTGTTCCATAGTTACCAAGTCTCCTGGGAGAGAGGAGATCTCAATATAATGCTGCCCTTTGCTTAACTTCTCATCTTCATTATCTGACCCTAAAAGAATGCTTTTCTCTTCAGTTTCCCTAGGGAGACTTTCAAATTCCCCCACAGCCAGTCTGTTATGGTCAGGAAGGTCATTTGGTCCCAGGTCTTGGGATTTGTCACACTCTCTAATATTGGATAACATGTCATGACCAATATGATCTATCTGAAGCCCCAAGTCTATTCTGCTTCCTCCACTAGGAGGTTCTCCCTCTATCACAACCAAGCCGGAAAAGTTCTCCCTTGGAGAGTAAAGTTCCACAGTGGGCTCCACCGGCTGAAGGTCTTTCTTTTCTGGCTGCTGACCATAGTGAAAGCTTCCTGAAGTCGACTGTGTAGATGCCACAGAAGGTCTAGGAATTGTAATCTAGAGAAAGAGAAGAAAAAAAAGTTAAAACACAAGAATGTGGAATATAAATGAAGATGCAGGATTTGAGATTTAACACCTCAAATTCTAATTTATAAGATGAACACAGATGACGACAAGATCTGCCCAACGCATACTCAAAGTGAAAAATTCTAAGAATGCATGACACTCACGCTCCCCTTCTTAGGAACTGTACAGCACAGTCTCCCTCGAGGTTCATTCCTGCCTCTGCTTTAGCCTGCTTGGTGTTCTAGAACAGGGGTCGGAAAACTTGAGATGAAAGAGCCAATCCTGTCCCTCACAACAACTTAAAAATTATTCGAGAGCCATAAAATAAATGAAATCACCATTATGTGAATAATATCCTTTAAAAAATTATAAATGAAACTATGATAGTTTTATTTTCATTTTCAATTTTACTTCACAGCCAGAGATTTCCTGCCAGAATAGGACAAAATTATTGGCAAATAATTATAAATTGAAAAACTCCAAATTTACACGCATTTTGTTTCCCATAAATTCTATCAATCAAACAATGTTAGGAATATTATATCTTCCTAGAAGCAAAGACATACAAAGATATTTACTAATGTTTCATGTCATCTTTAATGTTGTAAGGTCAAGCCTATGATAAATGAAATTCTACCATCCTTCTACTAAGGTCATTTCAACTCTGTGTGAATAAGAGTCAATATCTAATAAGAATGTCCTTTCTTAAGATATCTAAAGTTTATACATCTTCATATTTGTTAAAAGTCACATGTAAGGAGGCACAAAATGTCAGCCATATAAACTGGTAAGGAAAAAAAAGCCTTTTTTGGGAAATAAAATTAAGTCAAATCACTTAATGAAGCCCATTAAGTTCTAGGAAAACTATGGTAACTGGTCTGAATCAAAGTAAAATGAACTTGGAAGTGTCATGGGAGATTCTGCTTAGACCTCATCTCTAGTCAAAGGACACCAAGAAATCAGTGTGGTTGCACAGTCAGATAAGTTGTATAGATCTACTTCTCTTTGTGTCAGGAATACAATTTAAGAACATGTAAAGCTTCCCCTAAGCCCAGCCTAGGGAGAAAACACCTAACTAGTATCCTGAAATAGCTCCTGAACGTTCCAGAACCCCAGTGTCCTAAGGATCTGTCAGGTTAATCCAAGACAGCTGTTTGGGTTCAGACCTCTCAATTTTTACAAGCTCAGACCTATAATGACCTTGGGGAAAAGGCAGTAAGTTCTATTGGTGCTGTCATCCTTCAGGAAGTCACCACATACTTCTATTATTCTACAATATATTGAGGCCAATAGCAATTTTCTAGCATATTTTTAATGATTTTGAAACCTAAAATTTATAGTTACTCTTCAAAATTTACTTTTTAAGACCCAAGAATGACAGTGATAAGAAAAGCAGATGTGAAATTATACTATATGCCAAATAATAAGGGAGATGACTATAATTACTTTCAAAATAAACCAACAGTCACTTCATCATTATATCTAATTCCAAGTACATCAGGCAAAATAAACTCAGCAATATTTACAAAAATAACACTCTATTGGTCTTCTGAGATTGAAGCTAGGGAATCAATGCACTTCTGAGTTTAACTCATCTTAGATTCGGGATATAAATGTATGTCTATGTGTGGTATGAAAAACGGGGTGACAATCTCGTATACAGAAAAGACATACGAACTATCAGACAGAGAATTTATTTTCTCAATTGAAAAGATTTGGGACAATTATGATATACTGTGCATAAATTACTGTTATATAATATATAATATTTCCACAGCAGTTTAAATTTATAAAGTATTACTAAAATAATTTTACTAATTCCATTTCATAGCTGCCCTGTGTTTTATTTAATTGGGTACGACCCTGTTTCCCCGAAAATGAGACCTAGCCGGAAAAGAAGCCGTAGCACGATTTTAGGTGCCAAAATACGGCACCTTGACATACTGAATATTTTAAGCTGAAGGAGTTTGTGGAAAAGGCACCCTTCTCCCTGAAACAGGTCATGTGAGGGGTGCGTGCCCTCCACATCCTGGAGGAATCATGCTATGGCTTATTTTCTGGCTAGGTCTTACTTTCGGGGAAACACGGTATTATTAATACAAATTTCACAAATGAGGAAAAGCACAGTCAAATAAAATCAGGGATAAAACTTCAGGAATTTTAAAGTCATGCACAGCATAACACAGCCTACTGACATGCACTACACACTCTCAAATAAAGTCTAGGAAACTGAGTCTGCAAAAACATTACCTGATGAGATAAAAGGAGAAAAACCAAAGATCAATAATAGCTGAATACAGAGAAAAGAAAGCTAATTCTAAGTATAGCTGAAAATAGCTTCCTTAACCTATAGACACAAAAGCAATTCCCATACTTGGGACACTCTACAAATGGACTTAATTAATTATCTGCAGTAAGCCATATACATCTTTTATATCTTTAATTTTTATAATTCTCAAACATTAAGGCATTAATTCAATCATTTCATTTCTTCTGTTCTATAACTGTATCAGGTACCCCTTTCTAGAGTTAGAAAATGACCTTAATATTTTCCATTTCTTTCATATTTTCTTATTTTTATTAATGCCTAGTGCTAAGTTTGATTAGCATCAGTCTCATTACTTTTTGGTTCAGATAAAACAGCCTCATTATTTAATAGTTACCCCATGTTTAGAACTGGCCACATAGCAAGAGATAATAAACTGCAAACCAACTATTATTTATATTTTAACTTATAATTTATCCATTTAGTTTTCTCTCACTCAAAGGAAATAATGCTATTAAGAAAATAAAAACTTTGGGAAATTCAACATTCATACCAAATAACCTCTTCCAAATGACAGGTGTGCACTATACAAAACACCTATATCTCATTTTGATTTTTTGACAAATAATTTAGAAGAGATACAGGTAGTAGAAGAATGTACTGGTTTCTACTGTAGTCAACAAAAATTGAGTTATAGGAACAAATCCGTGGCCTATTTAAAAAATTAAATTTTAACCATTCAAATTTCTTTGGGCCACTACAAATTCCACTATAGACTTTTGTTGAAAGCATCTTTATATAATACTTTACACAAGTATTGAATATTATGATTAAGACTAAAATACTATTATTGAATCATATTTTTATGTACCAAATTTTTATTTCAATAAAGACAGTACACAGCAGTGATAACGTGAACATTGAGAGGTCAAACATGCTAAGAGAATGTCCCACTCTCTCACTCTTTACCCCTGTTGCTTATCCTGACCGCACTTATATTGGTTACTTTTGCTGAAGATATTGTTATATTGTGGTTTGGCTTATGTGGATGGATATGCGGGATGGTGGGAGTGAGGAATGGAGAGGGCAGCAGTCTTTGCTACAGAAGTGGGTAAAACTGAAAACGTGAAACCTCAAGACCTAGTAAGTAAATGAGTAGTAAAAGTTGCTTTTTCCCTTCCCCTATCATCCCACTCCTCAGAGACAGCTGCTCGTTATTAATAGTGTAATGTGTATTTAAGGGGATTTGAAACTATAAACATTTTGTATGAGTACTAAAAATTATAAGCAAGCCACAACTCACACAAAAATAGAAATCGCAGAAAAGATAGTCTGAAATAAAAATATTTCTTGACTGGCCTATGCTTACATATTATATACATGGCTATAGAACTTAATAGTCAGTTTTCAAGCCCCTTCATGCAATATTGGAAGATACTTTAGGTATAAATCTAGTCCAACTATCCCCAATTTTCACTACCTATAGATTTCAACCACAGCATCTTTAACATTCAAAATGTGGTCCTTTACGAGACTGAAGACCCTGGAAAGTGGTAAGAAGACTCACTGGGCTTTACATTTTTGATGCCTAGCACAGTACTTGACACATAGTAGATGCTCAATAAATGCCAAATACATGAGTGAATTAACCACTGGATGCTTGGGTTCCTTCCATGAAGCCTCTCCCAAGTGATAGTCCAGTCTATTATTTGAACACTTCACAAATGGGCTTTCTTTACTTTCCAATTCAGTTCTCCAATCTCTGGTCTTTTTCAACTGTTCATAGATTGAATTATACTATCATACTTAATTCCAGAGATGTTATTGGATAATCAATGATTTCATGTATATGGGTAAGAGAAGTCCTAAACAAGGCTCACAAATCAGTACTAAGAATGCTAACGTTCATATTAGTTAATTGAATATGCCAACTATACTTATAATAGAGATAAACTGCTTTGCCTATTTTCATACTTCCCACGTATTTTAAGATATCACTGCATTTTCCCTTCCGATCATCCTAAAAAAAGAAACAAGTCTGAGTGAAAAAGATACAGACTAACAGACTGTTTCCCATCAGAATATGTCTTAATTTAAAATATCCAGGGAGAATGGTAATATAGTTTATCATCTCATCCAAGATAGAGCCTATAATCAGAGCTACAAGAGAGCTGGAGAGACTACTTGGCAGTGCTCCCTATTTAATGTGCCTGGAGTAAGTTAGCAAAGTGATAACATCTGCTTTGTAAAAGTAAACTCTGAATTTAAGCCTCAAGAAGAGAATCAAGGTAAATATATTTTTATCCCAAGCTTCCCTCCCCCGCACCGGCCCCCAAATGAAGGAAATGGTGGTAAGTTTAATACCTTAGACATAAGTAAAAAAAAGTTGACATTTCTTTAGAGACCTTCAGTTCAGAAAACACTTTTATTGAAAAATACTTGAAAATAAGGTCAAACTTAAATATCAAATATATAAATATATGTTTTTCAACAACTTGATAAGAGAAAATGTTGCAGACAGTGTAAGGGAACCATGGGAACAATCCTTGTGGACAGGACAGTATTGATGGGAAAGAAGAAAAAATACCAGGAGAAATGGACCCAAGGCTTTCGAAAGCCTTTGTGAAAGGAAGAACAGCAGAGTACTACTGGAAAAATACTTGAGCAATGGTGAATATATAGCACAACAGAGTCAAAGAAGAACTGAATCCGGGAAGGTGGAAACAGGGAATGAATGGAAAGTACAAAGGTAGGATGGAAAAGGTAAGGGAGGGAGATAGTACGACCTGCCTCTAGCCCACACGGTACCTTTGCACAACTTGGAAAAGGATGTTCTTCAAAGAGGAAATAGCCTTGCACAAGGATGTAGAGTTTGGCTAGCAAAATTTGGGCTACATTTCAGCCCCAACTGTTCCCTGGGCTAGGCATGCAATAAACAACCTGCATAACTATACAAAGCAGTTCTGGGAAAGAAGGAAAGGCCAACTAATTGATGAAGAAAGAGGCAGACATTTATTTCTCTATTTTAAATTTAAGGTGCAGGTAAACTTCTAGAGCTATACACAAAATCAAATTCTGTTACCTTTTCTCACCGTTTTACACCTGTATAAGGATCTGTGTTCTAAGAGAAAACATTTCAGCCTGGGGAACAATGCTGAGTCTGGTGGTTTGGAAGAGAGAGCTGCTAGATGACTATGGAATTTAAGGAAACCTGGTACTCACACCCTACCTCCTGGTGCCTGAGATTTGTGTACACACTTCCTCACTGCCTCTATATTTGGCTTTTCTGAGCTCCTGCTCACGCAGTCACAGAGAGCAGCATATGCTGCAAAACAACAGTATAAGAGGAGCCTACAGCTGAATGCCCAAACTGAGAATGAACAGTGGAGTTTCCTCAAAATGTTCCTTTGCATTAGACTTGTATCACAATTGTCTTCAGCTGCTTGCTAAAATGCAGATTCCTGGGCTCGCTCTAACCCAGACCTGCTGAAGCAAAAGTTCTGGAAGTGAGACTGGGACTCTGGATTTTAAACGCTGGGCATGAAAGCTGTAAAACCACTGTTTAAGAGGAATGTAAAACAGAGGAGAAATATTGGGGTGGAGGCTACAAAAGAGAAAGGGGAGGAAAGTATTAGACCTAGCAACAGTCTAAAATACAAACCATGGACCGGCCGAGTGGCGCGTTGGTTAAGAGCTGGCTTGGGACGCCAGAGGGCCCCGGTTCGGATCCCATATATGCGGGCCAGTGACACTGCCCTCTACAGCTAAGATGCTGAACAACAGCTCAACCTGGAGCTGGGCTGCCATGAGTTGTCAGCAACGGTGTAGGCTGCAGCCCCTGCTGCAGTGGGTTGCCATGGGCTACCGTGTGTAGCCAGCAGCCAGCGTGAGCGGCCAGCAGCCGCAGTGAGCGGCCGTCCAGAAGACGGCGACTGATCTGCCTCGCCCGGGAAGAGCGCAATGATGGTGCCAACTTGGGCCAGTGAAGCAACGTCCTCTACAACTAGACTGAAGAACAAAAGGACAGCAACTTGTCTGTTCCCCTTCCCCCAATTCCCCAGCACTGTTCCCATCCCCCAATTCCCCAATTAAAAAAAAAAAAATACAAACCATGAATGGTTAAATATATGCCTTCCTCACTATATGTATAACATAGATTCAAAATCTCTAGAAATACAAGTTTTTAAAAAACCATATATATTAATACACACATGAATAGATAGTTCTTGTGGTCTAATTATAAATGTTATTCTGAATTTAGGTTATGATGACATTTTGTATATTGAGTTGCTATCCTGATAGGAAACCTCACTTTTTTGAAAAATTTCATATTGGAAGACTATAGAGCCTAGTTCAGACATCACTCTCTATACCCATCTGCCAAACTTAGGCCTCTGCTGAAGAACCTTAGTAGTTGATCAACTGTTAGTCCTTTACTTAATAGCACCTTGAGTGGATAACAGAGGAAAATGACAGGAACAAAATCTCTTACCGCTGTAAGGGGTCCTTCTGCTTGTGCCTCCATTGGACTTGTGGGTGTTGCCGCAATGAATTGACTAGCAGCTCCAGTCTGAAGTTCTAACCTCTCTGTATATTGTTCTGAAGCAGCAGTGGCAGGGCACTCCCCAGCAAGTGCTAAGATCACACCTGAGGTTTCCTTCTTTAAGTGAACATTTTCTGCCCAAGGACCCAATCGGAGCTTTTCCTCTTGAGGTGATTCCTCTAGGACTTGAAGGACTTCGGGCTCCTCATCGGAAGGGCTTCCCGTTGTTTTATGGCCTAACGCCTCATTTGTCCTAAAGTCCCGCAGGTCCTGCTCCTTGTCCACAATCACCCATTCTTTGGAATCAACCTCCTGTTTGCAGGAGCTCAAGTTCACAGCTATGAATCCATGGCTGCCACCACCATCTGCCTGCTCAGGGGTGTTGGCAGAGGCAGGCTTAGACGCATCTGGAAGATATTCCTCATCAAAGTGCCAGATGTGGTCAGTGTGGGCCCTGGTAGGCACACAAGGCTTGTGAAGCAGGGCAGAGAGAACAGATTCCTTTCCAGCACAGGCATCTTTCTGCATTTTCTCCAGGCTTAAGAAAACAGAGAGAAGTTACTGAATTGTCCAAGGGAAGTACTTCTCACATAACCTGTAAGATCTATACAGAACTAACAGTCACACACAGATGAGAGAAAAAATATGGATAAGGCCTAAGGAACATTTCACAGGTTAATAATGCTCTTCTCTACCTGTCATTATCCTGTTTTGGAAGATGGAGTCCCAGGAAGACGTCTGTCCTGCTGCAGGACAGAGAGAAGCCTAACTGGGTTGACTTTTGTGATCCATTTCATCTTTGCTATACCAAATCAATCACACTGCCCTCTGCTCTGAGGATTGAGAACAACTTACCCAAGGGACTTTTGCCTCAGCAGAAGCCCTAGGAGGGGAAATAAAGAAGCTAGTATACCTAAGGCAAATACTTCCTGATTTGTTTCTTCTTTAGAAATGTATGTAAATGTACACTCATTCAAGAGCACTCTTCCAAAGGCAGGGCTTTGAAGGAGACGGGGTACTGTACCTGCTCAGCCACACCCAGCCCAGCAAGCACACACAGCTCTATATATGGTGGTGGGGGGGTGGAGGGGTGGTTCGGGTGAAGCTTCAGGGTATATTTTCAGTTTTCTTGGATTAAGAGGCTGTTGACATTCATTGCATATAAATCGTTCTGCTGCCTGAGGGACAGGTAATAATGTGATGGGTGGTATTTGGCTGTACTGACTCTGAGAAGTGATCTCATCTGTAGAGAAGCAGTTTAGGCAATGCCTCTTTTCCTTTCCTTAAGTTTGTAATTAGGTGCTTCAATTCATTCGACTGTTCCCTATTCATTCTAGGTTCTGGCCTGAGTTCATTTTCTCCAGTTACTTCTGTTCTCAACTCTGTATTATCTCTCAGCTCTTCCCTCAGCATCATGGATCCTCTTTTTAGTTCCATTCTTTTATTAGACTAATTCTTTACCAAACTAATCTTTGATCCCTATTGTACCTTTTATTTATTCCCAGTCTTAGCCATAACTCATGTTTAAATACTGCCTCAAGCCTAGTCCATCCTTTTGATCTTATTAACGTGTAGACACAGCTTCCATCCCATAGCTGTGAGACTGAATGATTACCGTGTGAGGAAAAATATACACATATGAAGGGCTAAGATTGGACTAGGCCAGAGTGGCTGGATTGTCTTTGGACACAGTAACTACCATATTAGTCAAATATATGGTTTTTCTAACCTAACATTTCACTGCCAATAGTAGCCACCAGGGGTGTACATTGAAGGGTGTGACTATTATTAAAGTCACTCAGGTCTTATCCCAAATTCTTTTTAAAGTTTCATTCTGTTTTCTCTTATCAAAATTTGAGGATCATGGGCCTCATTACCATGACCTACAGTCAGTCATTCCCAATGTAGAGTTCTCTAAGTTCCCCCTTTTCTTCTGGCAAAGTTAATGCGAGCTCTCTAAAGTTCCCTTTCCTTCTTTCTAGGGAGAACGATAAACTTATCCATGCCTATTTTTCCTACAGCACTTACTCATAGAAGGCCTTCATGGAATCTAATTGAATAGCCTATCCCTTGTGTATAAATTACCTTTTTCCCTCCTTCATGTACTCTCCCCTCCTTCCTGCTTAATGCCACCTTATTCATGCCCTCTCCACCTGTACACTGCATCTTCTCCATTCCAATGAGAGAGATCACCTTCCAGATAAAATCACTTCAAAATGTTCATTTGACTTATACCTAGTGTTATGAAGTTACCAGCTCCCACTGCTCAGCTCCCAAAGCCAAAAGGCTTTGTTATAGAACTTGTAACAATATTAGGAGACAGTTCACATCAAGAATCAGGATGATAATAAAAAACATGGATGAAAATGAGAGCTTAATTAAGTTAGTGTTATAAAAATGAAAGCATTTATTTAAAAGACTTTATGTAATAGAAATAAATATTTAAAAATAGTAATAGTATATTGGTTGCTTTAAAAAAAAAAAAAGAAAGAAAGAAAAACTATTTTATACCAGGTTTCAAGAAACTTGTCAGTATCTGGCTTTGGCTCCAGTATCAGACGTTTTTCCAGCTCAAAGCTGTGGATAGAACGTAACTTTCGCACCAAAGGAACATCTCTGTCTGGCTGAGTAATCTCTGAGCGGACACGAATTGGTGAACCAAGGCTTGGAGCATTCAGAATACCATTTGCTTGACCATGGCTATTTTCCTCTTCAGTAGCAGCCTAGAAAAAACATTAAAAAAATATATATATATATGAAAGACATTCCAGTTACTATATGTGGTAGGAATCATTGAAGTCTTTCAATATATATAAGCAAATGATTGGGATGTGTTCTGAGAAGATTAGGATATTTTGGCTAGTTTACATTACATACTTGTCTATTAACCCTTCATTAAATAAGTTTTCTTAATTTATTCTGTTTCAGTATTATTTTAGTTTTTTATATCTTGGTACAAGGATAAACAATCTAAAAATGTTTAACAACTTTATCTTTTCATATTATGTCTAACTAGATGCTTACAGGACTCCATCCACTAAACTAAAACTAAAACTTGAAAAGGACATTCTCTTTGAGACATATGTGCTCTCACAAGAGGTAGGAGAGGTCCCTAAGCCTGAATAGCCTGTCTACTTCCTTCTCTAAAAAACAAACAAGAAGAAAACCTAGTGTTAGAATAATGAGGAGCTAGGTAGGGCAGAAGGACACATTGTAGTTAAAATGGAGAACACCAAAGACAAGGAGAAAAGCTAATAAGTAGCTGGGGAGGAAGGACGGGTAGAATGATCCTCTACAAAGAAAGAGAAAAAAATAAACAACACAGACTTCTGAACACGGATAGTTGAAGCCTGAGGAAAAATAGCTGTCAATCAAAATCTTTGAATCCAGCATAAACTATCTTTAAAGAATGAGATTGAAATAAATACATTTACAGCTAAATAAAAATTGAAAGAGTCCAAAAGACTTCAACTAAAGGAACTTCTAAAGGAAATATTTTAGGAAGGAAGGAAGATGAATCCAGGACTTCTAAAAATGCAAGGAAATGGTAAACATCTTTGAAAAATCCATATAAACATTATCTGTATGAAACAACAACACTAATAATCTAATTTGAGTCATTTTTTTAAAGGAAGAAATTATAAAATAGAAGAGAATAGAGATTAAATAGTGATAATGGGTGAAAGAAAACCAAAGTAATTAAGATCTATGTCAAGTGCCATTTCATTCTCTCACATACACAGAGGTTTTTCACTTTAAGAACAGTTTGCTCCTGGTGCCACATCTGACATTACAAAAAAACTGACTTCCTACTTTTCACGACTTATTCCTGATTACTATTAGTCCGAAGAGTGTTTATTCCAATAGCCAGACCACAGCGCAGTCTATCATATCTTTGCAGAGAATGTTTTTGCAAATAACTCTCATGACTGAAAGTATATACTGTTAATTTTTTAAATTATATAGTTTAACAATATAGTATATATTGTCCAAAGATATAGCTCCTCAGAAGCGATCATAGAGGATTCTTTTCAAGATATATTCCCCATTCATAAAGCGTAGCCAATTTTCTATCAGTCATATTAGGTATGGGCTCAAAGTCTCATTTTACACCTATAAACTTAACCTCCTTTGCAACTTAGCTCTTATAAAAACATAGGAAACACCAAAAACTAATTTGTAATTTCTTGCCCTTCCCTACCATTCATCTTCATCTGATCTTCTATGAAAATGGAAATGACTAGGAATAGTAAGATCAGAGAGAAATCTGAGGATAATCTGCCCTGATTACTAAAAATTAACCGTTTAAATTCAGAAATCTGTATCTTTCCCCATACTTACAGGTGGACCTGCTTATAATCCTCATGAAGAAAAAATCATGTCATTTGTTCAACATTCACTTTATCAACTCATTAGCAGTTTAATGCTTCCCACTTCCAACCCTCAGTTCTCTACCTCCATTTGAGGCAGTTTTCAGAATGGGTAGGCAGGGCTCCATTAGTCCACACTATAGAAGGGGCCCAGAGTCTTGTCACATTATTTGGAAAGACTATTAACTTCTGTTCTATAGCTGTCTCTTCTATTAGTCTCAGTGTCTGGTTTGTTTTTTTTTAATACCTTCATCTTTTCCACAAAATACAAGATAAAGATTATTTGGTTTCAATACCTGAGTGTTATGGGCAAAATTAGTCAAAATATTGCAATTAGAAATATAGAAATAACTAACAATAGAATATTGTGTCTACTTCTCATTCAAAACTGAGAATCATGATACTTTGCCACAGCAACAGGAGAAAAATAATAAGCACATGGGAAGATATTATTTCCTATGCAAGAAATATGCACCTTACAAATCCCAAGCTTTATCTTGTTCTTGTTGGCATCCATCTCTTCCCAGACATCCTTCTCCTGGGGACGAGGGTGTCCTAGAGATCCAGGCAATTTGTCTGGTGACACACCAACAGGGATGCCATTCTCCCCATCACTAAGCTGTTCATCTGGAAACACCTCATCTGTATTTTCTCGAAGCAAGTCTCCTGGGATGGGAGTAGCATTGGCAATTCTAAAAATGAGGGGTGAAAAATAGGTAGAACTTAAAAACACCAGAATTAAAAATTACTACAAGACTGTACTACCTTTTGTTCCTAGATTTAAATGAGGAAGTCTATATATCAGAATAGAGTAAAACAAAAACAAAAACCTTGCGAATTCTACAAAACAGAGCAAAACAAAACCAAAAAGCCATGCGAATTCTACAAAATAAACCTTCTACATTTTGATCAACAGAATTTTCAAGCTGATATAAAAATACAAATTCTAATACAATAACTCACTGATTTAACAATCACTTTAAAAGTCAGAGACATTTGGTCTATTTTCCAAGAAGTCTTTGTCAATTTTAATATTTTCTATTCTTTACCCATTTTTCTTAGAGAATTAACAAAAACTAGAAACAGGAAAATGTTAAGTGTCACAATGATGTAGTCAGGAATCATCAGATCAGTTGGTTATGTTACTTTTTTTAATAGTGTGAAATGTGCATTTGTTTGTTCATTTACAGACTTTTTACTAAGTACCTACTACATGCAAGGCCCTCCTACATAAAGAGGAGAAAGGGAATTCTTGGCTTTAAAGGAAAACTAGAGATTTTGCAATTATACAGTTCATACATTCTGCATGAACTGGCAGGGAACAATAAAAAATATTAATTGGGACTTTGTCTATATATTTCTTTCAAAATAACTTCATGTCCTATTTACACAGTTGATCATCTCTCCCTTAAGACTTCTGACCCGTGAAGGGTTTTTTGAGTTCTCAGTTATCACTCACTAGGTGATCTGGCCCCTGCCAGCTCTAATGTTCTATAACTCTACTCTATACTCTAGTTTTTTGGTTTTGTTTTTTAAAATACTACTGACTGGACACAATATTTAGCATACAATGAAACCTTTTCTTAGAAGTGATCTGGAATGTTTAAAAGTAAAAAAAAAAACAAAAACCAGTCTTCAGTAGATTATACTGACACAATTATTATAAGTGGTAAAATAGGCGTGATCTCCTCAGAGAACCACTCTAAGGGTAACTAACGGTTACACCCTGGCCCAGGTGTCATAACTATGTCGTACTGTGAGAACAAAGATCAGTCATTTTTCAGGGACTTGTTCCACCAAATTTCATGACCTTCACTATCACCCTCTTCCTGCCGGGATCAACGCTAGAAGATGAACCTCTTAATCAATTGGTTACAGGTAAATAATCTAGAAAAACACTGATAATGGCTCCCAGGAAAAAAACCTTATAAAGTTTGTAAAGTAGTTCCTGTAATTCTGATACTAGGAATTACTGAAAAGGTAGTTTGGACTAAAATAGTTCAAATGAAAGGATTTAATATAAAAGCAAAGTTCAGGATAAATTGGCTATTAAAAGATTGTTTAGATATAAGTTCAATATAATTCACTTACTGATGCAAAGAATTACATTGGGCACTAACATATATGTGTTACGTGGCAATGCAAAAGCTTATTGGAAGAACTCCCTTGTTCCAGAGGAAAGAGACTGGCAAAAGGATGACTATTTGAGTTCAGGAAGCCCCACATTTCTTCCTACATTTTAATTACTCAGTGTTCTTCCAAATCCTTTTTCCTTATGCTTAGCTACTATTTTGCTTCTTTCCAATTCTACCAATTCCTTGGCATTTTCTTCCACTCCTCAGGAGACAAACCACACCTCCACCGATGAAATTGCTTCTCTTTTTACTCTATCTCAGTTTCCCTCATATCTCTTGTGCTTTGGTATAACACCACACACTTCAAGGAACTCTTCATCTTCTCTACACAGGCTCTCTTCCACATGACTCAGGTTCCTCTGCATTTATTCTCCCAGTTTTACTCTTTACAGAATTATTATTTTCTTCCTTCTCCTAAAACTCAGATCCAAATCTAGAGTTTAAGACAAAGAATTTCTTCCCAGGAAAACTATATCATTAAGGGATAAGAATGAGTGAGGAAGTATATGTGAAAGTATTATGAACACATGGTCTGTGTTTGCAGGCAAGGTATAAATGACAGAAGCAGATTAGGGAAAAAAGGAAGAAAATGTATGGAACAGCTGGAAAAGTAGAAATAATGGACATCCTTTTCATATTCCCTTCCCCATAATCTAAATCAGGGCCAGCAAACTAGGGCCAGTCAGCCACATCTGGGTTGCACACCTATTTCTGTTAATAAAGTGTTATGGCACTCGGTCATGCCCATTTGTTTCCATGTTGTCTATGAGTGATCTAACATTACAACAGCAGCAGCAGTGATGACAGAACCCACAAATGTATCTAGCCCTTTACAGGTAAGATTTGCTGACTCCTGATCTAAATCATCTTCCTACCTTCTCCTGAACTTCCTTTCTCCTTCTACTAAGAAATTCAGTTGTGGAACATACATTATCATTTTAACACTGATTCTCTAGGGCTTTCCAGGTATTCTTCCATATCACTTGCAAAAAGAGATAACTCAGAGGTCAGCAAGTGTTTTCTTTCTTTCTTTTTTTTTTTTTTAAGCTGAGCCATCCTGCCACCTGTTGGCAGCTGAGCTCAGGCCAGAAGTAGAACCGGCAACCCTGTAGCTCAGAGTGAGCTCTTAATCAACTGAGCCACTCGGTCAGCCCCTCAGCAAGTGTTTTCTTAAAAGGCCATATACTAAATGGTAGGCTTGTAGGCCTGATACTTTGCAGGCAAGATTCACTGATGGGTGCTAAAATTAGTGGGTACAAGTATGATGAAAAACAAGTTTATTCAAATAGTCTCAAAGTATTTCCCCACAAGATACTTATTACTTATGAAGGGTGACCTAATAACTGATCAATTTTTGTGAATGTTCCTGGGGCACTAGAGCAAAAGGTGCAATCTCTATCATCAGGGTGTAGTTTGAAAAGATGCATAAGATCTACCTTATTGATCATGTTGTTTGTCTTCTATTTCTTTTTTGTTCACTTGATCTGTCTTGAACTGAGTTGTATATTAAAATCTCCGATCAATAGTGTGTTTCTATCTATGCCTCCTTAAATCTTCTATACTTGTTGCTTCCTAAAGGTGATTGTTGCAATTCTGGTATTAATAAATACTATGTCCCACATGTGACCAGTGGCACCTAGCATTAAAAAGTACTCTTCCATCTTAGTAACTTTTAATGCTTTTTGGTCTTAAATTCTACATTGTCTGACATTAGGATCATCATTCTCTTTTTACTGTTTACATTTTTCTGGTATGTATCTGTCTATCCCTTTATGAAACACTTTTTCTTGGTTGTTTTAGGTGTGTCTCTTGTATATAGTATATGTATACAGTGATGTAAACCAAACTGAAAATCTTTTTCTTTTAATAGATGAGTTAAACCAGTGTACATTTATTACTATGACCGATATGTTGGGTCTCAACTCTGCCATAGTATTTTATAATTATGTGTACTTAGTTATATTTGCTGTATTTCTCTACAAGATGGGTATTTATAAACTTATTTTTTCTTAATTTATAAACTTTGTTTTCCCTGGTATTTTGGAAGGTTTGCCATTTTGTTCTAATGGTCACCTTTGGATGCATACCTTTGTAAATGCTCTTAGTCCCTGTTTTCTTATTTAACTTTTTGCTATTGAGTTTCTGTTTTAACTGGTATTATTTTGTTTTTCTTCTTTACTCTAATAATACAAATGCTATTCCTTCTTTATTCCTCCCATTTGCACTGCTTTCTCTCTAGCCTTTTTTTTTTTTCAGTGTTGACATAGATTTTATTGTTACCAGGGGGCCCTACTGAGCAGGGTTTTATAAACGGTTTATGTGGTCCCAGGCTGTCACAATGGAGAAATCAAGAGGTCATGATTGCAGAAGAGGTCACTGTAACTGAAGGACATGATCCAGGGGAGGCTGGCCAGGAATGCAGCAAACATGATCAGGATAGGCTGGGAGTGGTCAGGTCACAGGGTGAGAGAGAGGACAGCCCCCTTCACTCCTGCTTCTTGTAGCTCTCCAGGTGAGACAGGACCCAGCCCGACGGCAGAAGGATACACAGGAAGCAGAAGGTGAGCCCAATGGCGATCTCCATGGTTCCAAGCTGCTCCTGCGGCGGCTTGGAATAGACCTGGGCACACGGCACCAGGAGCCGCCGGGCCGGGCCAGTCAGGCCCCTCAGCAGCATCGGTGTGAGCACAGACATGACCGCACTGAGTAAACTGCAGACAGCCCTCTCTAGCCTTTTTAAATGATTATTTTATTTTCATTCTCTTGGGTTCCCCCCACCCCAATTTTATTCAATGCCCTTTATTAATATCCATTTGAATCTATTCTCCTTTGTGTGTACTTTATTTAATTCTGAGATATCTTTTCCTTCCATTTCTTTCCTGAGTTCAATTAACTCTCATTTCATTTCTTCCTCTCTCTTTACCTTTTTCTCTCCCCAATCCTCACTTTGGGGTCTATTTCTTTTTAAACGTGTTTTTTTTTAATTTTATTTTTCAATACATTTGACATATAATATTTTATTAGTTTCAGGTGTACAACATAGTGACTAGACATTTATATGCCTTGTGAAGTGATCACCCCAATAAGTCTGACACCACAGTTATTACAATATTATTGACTATATCTTCCCCTATGCTGTACTTTACATCTAATGACTATTTTTATAACTGGCAATTTGTACTTCTTAATCCCTTTCATATTCTTCAGTCATTCCTGGGGGATCTATGTCCAAGTTTTTAAATTTCTGATTTAAGGTGGTTATCCATATCTTCAAATAAATGAGTGTACTTAATTCCTTTTGGGGTTCTTACAGTTTTCTTCTTCCTCATGGCTGTTTTTCTGAGAGGAAATTTCCTTAGTTCATTAGATTTTCTTTTCTGATTTTTTACAATAACATTTTGTGGATCTTTAAAATCCTTTTCTTGTTCATTTTTGTGTTATTAGAGTGTTTTACAAGATTCACAGTTTAATTAGTGCCCTCCTCTGTCAGTATAGAAAAGTCTAAACAGTTAAGTGGATTTTTATTTGTTGTTTTGTGGTCAGGGGAGATACTGTGTGTCCTCTGATTTTAGAGTTCTCTTTTCTTCTAGGTAAATTTTATTTCCCCTTTTGCCCCTCTGCAAATATTGATTTATTGCCTTTCAGGTCCAAATTCATCTTTTTTCTGCCTGTTTTGTGAACGTGGACCTGTGTTTTTAAATATTTTCTTTTGCCAGCTGACCCTGGAGCTTTGTCAGTGGAGGGCACTGGAGAAACTGCAGGAGGAAAGTGTTTTGCTCTGGGTTCCAGTGTATAGCTGGGCAAGCTTCTCCAGCACGTGTGGCTTAACCAGTGCAGGGCTCCCGCAGCATCACAGCATCTTAAGGGCCTGTCTCACACAGACAGGAGCAACCAACAGCTTCCCTGAGCAATCCTCACAGCCCAGAAGTTTTGCAGCAGAGTGCATCTGGTGAGACAGTCCCAGTAAACAGCTTTCTCTGGCAGGTTTCGATCAAGTTCCAGAGAGCAGCATTTTAGCCAATTCTACCAGTGTGGCGTCAGAGTGACTTTCCAGAGGGATGGACATACCCTCTTCTACAAGGTCAGGATCTCAGCCCTGGAGTCAGGGCTGGGGGAGGTCTCTGCTTGGAGGCTTAATATCAGCCTTAGGAGTAGGAGCTGCACTCTATATTTGCTATTCTTGTATTCTTTACAGTTCTCTCGACTTCCTACTAATCAATCCCACATTACTCCAAATTCCATGTTACAGGTAATAATTTGTATCATCTTGCCCTTGTCAAATTACTATGTAGTTTCTCTCTCCTGATTGAACCCAAACGGATACGTTTTGTCCTTCACCACTGAACTGACAAAGGGCACTTCTCCCTTATTTTTGTCTTTTTTCTTCCTCAGAAGCCATGTGTTTTGAATCATGCATATTTTTACCTCTCTGTAGTTCATGATCTGATCTACTTGGACATTTTATTCTTTGGATGGGCTTAGTCTTTCTGGTGTTGGTTTTAGATCAACCTTAGATCCCACTGCTAATTCTCCTCTTCTCCACAATTTTTTTTTTAAAGATTTTTATTATTGGGGAATGAGGGATGGGAACAGTGCTGGGGAATTGGGGGAAGGGGAACAGACAAGTTGCTGTCATTTTGTTCTTCAGTCTAGTTGTGGAGGACGTTGCTTCACTGGCCCAAGTTAGCACCATCATTGCGCTCTTCCCGGGTAAGGCACATCAGTCACCGGCTTCTGGACTGCCGCTCACTGCGGCTGCTGGCCGCCCACGCTGGCTGCTGGCTACATACGGTAGCCCATGGCAACCCACTGCCACAGGGGCTGCAGCCTACGCCGTTGCCAGCGACTCATGGCAGCCCAGCTCCAGGTTGAGCTGTTGTTCAGCATCTTAGCTGTGGAGGGCAGTGTCACTGGCCCTCATATGTGGGATCCGAACCGGGGCCCTCTGGCATCCCAAGCCAGCTCTTAACCATCGCGCCACTCGGCCGGCCCTTCTCCACAATTTTTATTGACCTGGCTTTAGAAAGCCTTGTGGCAGGGTTGGGTGAGGCAGGGTCTTAAGAGATACTGCACAAGGGCTTGGGGTTTTGGTTTTTTCTCTTTTTACTTAGTCATTTTGAAGATCGGGATGCCTTTATTTTCATATTATGTTGAAGACACGGTTTTGGTGTAGTTTTATTTTTCCTTTGTTGTTGTTCTGTCTTATTTTATTTCATTTATTTTTTATTTTTTTTAGCTGAGCCATTCTGCCACCTGTTGGCAGCTCAGCTCGGGCCGGGACTCGAACTGCTGGTGCTCAGAGCTCGCACTCTTGAGCGAGCTCTTAACCAACTGAGCCACTCGGCTGGCCCTTTGTTCTGTCTTATTTTAGGAGGAAACATTGGAACATGGGAACTTACACTGTCTTCATTGACTTCAGCTATCTTGAAGTCCTATCACCTGATTTTTGCAAGTTTGAGGTTTATTTACTTCTAACAATAATCAAAGGAGAAAGAAGACAAAAGCACTAAAACGAGAATCAAAATTCCTAGAGAGGCTCAGCTCTGTGACTAATATTTATCTAAAGTTGGGTGATTCACTCAGTGTAAGGATTATTTCCTCACTTGTAAAATGAGGGAGGCTGGATTAGGGCAGCGGGTCCCAAACTCAGAGAAGCACGAGAAACATCTAATGCACATGGATTTCTGTGCCACATCCCTAGATTCTGATTCAGTAAGTCTGGGTGAATCCTACAAACAGACATTTTAAACAAACACCTGCGGTGATTCTGATGTAGCTGGTTGGTATCCCATATTTAAGAACTCTTAGACTAGCTAATTAAGGATAACATGTTCAGCTATGAATCCACATAAGATTTTCTGATTCAGTAAGCTTTAGTGGTCCCATCTTTCAATATAAAATCCAGGTACTGGGTTACTGATAAAATGTCCTATTAGCACACATTGTATGAGGATTTTTTTCCTATTTACTTTTTAAAAACCAGTTTAAAGCAAACAGAGCAGGTTAAAAAAATGGGTCAGAAAAAAAGATAACCTCCCCCCAAATAAACAAACAAACAAAAGCAACTATATTAAATGCATGTAGAGAAAACATTAAAAACAAAAAATCAAGAAGATGGAAATACACATAACCTGTTCCTAATACACTTTGAAAATTAAATCACTTTCTTAAGAAGAACAAGCTAAATGTGTTGTTCCCAATAAACTTAAGCACAGTATAGTTAGATATAATTGTAGCTCATTCTTTCCAGGGTCCCATATATTTTTTAGAAGTAAATGCAACAAATGCCCCTTCTCATTTTGAAGAAAACCCACTGTAAATCTGATATCAACAAGTCACACAAGCTCTAGGTTCCCATTTCACAGTATGATCTATAAATACTTTCTAAGAAACGTAAATCTGAACAAAAGTGTATACAAGAGCACTGTTAATTCAAGGAAATTCATAGGCTTTCACCTGTGTCTGTCTTAGCATTTGGTAATATGAAGGAATCTGCATAAAATAATTTCTGCTAATGTAATCTATCCAGGAAAGATAGGAGCTGTTTAGGGGGACATACCCAATTGCCGCAGGGGTCAAGCGGGTGTGCAACTGAGGGGTGGTAGAAGTGGTGGTGGTTGTCAGGGAGCCATCAGTTCCAGTCTTCTCCCAGTCAAAAGGGTCACTCTCAATTACTCCAAAGGTTTTGATACTGTTGTCAAACACGGATATAAGAAGCTAAACCACAAAGAAAAAAAGTAGAGTAAGCCAACAGTAAACAGAAAAAAACTAGAGTAAGCCAACCTTAGAATAAGCCAACAGTGTGGGGTGCTTTCTCTTATAGAATAAGACTCATAAATTCGTTTTGTAGTATGATTTTTAAAAAACCTGATGATTGGGCCAGCCAAGTGGCTTGTTGGTTAAGAGCTGGCTTGGGATGCCAGAGGGCCCCGGTTCGGATCCCACATATGAGGGCCAGTCACACTGCCCTCTACAGCTAAAATGCTGAACAACAGCTCAACCTGGAGCTGGGCTGCCATGAGTCGCCAGCAACGGTGTAGGCTGTAGCTCCTGCTGCATTGGGCTGCCATGGGCTACCGTGTGTGGCCGACAGCTAGCGTGAGCAGCCAGCAGCTGCCATGAGCGGCCGTCCAGAAGCCGGCAACTGATCTGCCTCGCCCAGGAAGAGCGCAATGATGGTGCCAACTTGGGCCAGTGAAGCAACGTCCTCCACAACT